TTCTATTTGGCGCAAAAGACGCTTAGATTTCTTGCACTTTGGAGTACCTTTAAGATTTCTTTTTGACATTTCTGCCGCCTAGAATCTTTGTACTTTGTGAGTTTGAGCTATACAATGTGATTTGCTGAGTAAATATTCTCGGGATTATATACTCAATGTTTTATCATTTTATTGGATATTATACTCGGCGATGTTGTCGTATGTATCTTCCATCTTGGCTCACTCCTTTCATAGAAGCTCTACATATGTGTCGTTTTGCCCTTTTTTAAGACAAGTCTTACTTGAGATTTTGAACTTGTCCGAAAGGAGCCAGTCAATATACGCTTGGATCATATAAATATCTGTATATCGCCCTATTGAGGGAGGCTTATCTGAAGGTATTAATACGTTTTATATTTATTTCGGCTGTAGACTTATACTAAGGGACCTTTGTCCTACATTTCATGAAGTGGCTTCTCAATAAGGGATTTATGGACCTTAGTCTTTCCTTATTGCCTCACTTATGGGGTGGCTTGTTTGTCAAAGACTCAAACTAAATGTGATGGCTAGCATTTGGTTTAGTAATTTGGAAGTTCAATTACTAGCTTAGAAGAAGCTGCCCTATCTCATCTTTGATAGGCTTTCTTCTATCTTCGATTAACATCAATCAACTTGATTACAATGATACCCGACCTTGAAGCTATCTTGTGATGAATGAATGCTTGCGTAGACGGTCGGACACTTAGTCGGCATCTTGAAATCATGGGGGGCCTACTCGACCTAATTGTAATTGTTACATTAAGCTTTTGAAATTTGTTGCCGCTTGTGGTCTCTAGTAATAAGTCGAGGCCTAAAGGTCCTCATCCACTTGGATTTTCACAAGTGCCACTTATAATCTTCCTAAAGGAAGGTTGTTTGCTCATTAGCTGGTCGACACTTTGGCTCTTCCGACTTTTCATAGATGAATGTGCCTTTTGGCTCATGCATCGGCTAGGTGTTACTTGATTTGTTGTGCTGTTGTGAATCAAGCTTTGTCATCTTTTGAGTACTAGCCCCTATCCATTTTCTTGCTAGGACTCATGGCCGTTTGATTGTTTTGGACTGGCCTGATCATGGTGCTCTCAGTTTCACTTTGTAGTTGGACGACTCTTAAAGTCAGCTGACTCAACTAAGGAGAGGCCCAACTTCAGATACTGCTGATTGCGTACGGCTGATTATATGAATTGGCTAGGACCTCAAAGCCTAGCCATTGACGTTGCTAGCAACTCGTAGTAGTTTTATCATCACATTGCTACGCTTGACCTCGCGTCGCCGTGATGCCTCTTGGTCAAGCATGAGTTAACTAGCTACTCGGTACTGATGCCATTCGGCTGGAGCATACTAAGTCTGAACGATTCTTTTGATGCCCCTTGCCCTTTGTACAAGCCTTAGGGCTCTGCATTTGGCAGCTCAGCAAGTGTGCCGCTCGAATAGACATATACGCCTCCTTGTTTCACAATCGGCTTACAGCAACATGGTTGGCTGCCGCTTAGCTCCTACTCTTGCAAAAGGCTCTGTTGCTCATCATTTTTCGTCATTCTACCATCTTCGGCTGTTCCACTTGGACAAAGGTTATCTTGGATGCTTTGATTTTATAGTCGGCTTTTAAATGTTGAGCCAATTATCATAGTCGACACTTTTAATTAGTGCAGCTGTGAATGCCGCTTAGTATTTTGAAGAAGGTTGTCCGCAAGGGACGAGCTCATACCATTATTTTGCCTATTTCATCCTTTCCCATGGATATTCTCCATCTCGGCATTCATGCCATATAAATTTTCAGAGTTGCCGAATTGATATTCACATATAAGCAAACTTGGTTGATTTAATTAGGCCAATCATGTCGTCTAGAGGGAAGCTCAACCTTTACAGTCTTGCTTAACCACTTCACTCAGCCAAGTATGCCGAATGAAAGTTGGAAGATGATCCACTGCTGGAGGGCATCTCGGCCTCCACCGATCAGCTATGCACACGAGGGCGAGCTTTGCCATTTCACTCAACCAACTATGCCGAATATTGGCCATCAAGTGTCGTATAACAAAGTTCATGGTTGCACGGCCTTAAATATTACTCGGCAATGTTGCTATTTGAATGTAAGGTAGGTAGGCTTCACTCAAGGGAAGCTCGTTCATCTTAATTAGTAGCTATGCTCTTGACTTAGGGTTGTCTTGCATGCCCATCTTCGAGAGATGACATGCAACATCTGCTTGGACAAGCAAGGTGTTGGTTAGCCTTAGCTCTTGCCCACTTGGCAATGGTTATGCCATATGCTCGGCACCATTAGTCATGCCGCCTATTTTATCAAAGCTAGCTTAATTTGTGTGGCTAGCTCGGTTTCATATCCATATTCGACGAGGGAACTAGAAGTTTGTCGGTCTACCTAGCTTGGTGCCAAGTTGCTTGTGATAATTAATCAATTTTGCAAGGGCCGCCTAGAATCGAGTAGATGGTCCTTTGCTCAATAGCAGCTCGGCCACCTAGCCCGGCTGTCTAGAAGTGAGTAGATGGTCCTTTGCTCAATAGCAGCTCGGACACCTATCTCGGCAAATAATGGCCGTCTAGAATCTAGTAGATGGTCCTTTTCTCAATAGCAGCTCGGCCACCTAGCTCGGCTGCATTGGAATGCATAAGGAGAGCATTTAAGATTTTGGTGAAATAGGGTGTTTTCTTATAAAGTAAAATATGTTGCACACGTACATAAGTTCTTACATGGTTCAATGAATGACACACTACCAAAAGGTAGGAGGGTATTTAGCATCTTTAAAGAAATGTAGTTGTGGCAATAGTAGTGAGCTAGTGACAATGATGCAAAAGAAGGGACTACTTGTTTTCCAAATACTGTTTATTTGTTTTGAAGGGTTGTCTAAAGGGTGGAAAGAAGGATGTAGGAAGGTGTTGGTCATGGACTCTAGCTTTCTTAAGACCTTTTTTAGGTGGTCAAGTGGTCAACTACTACATTGTTTCTTAAGACCAAATGAACCCTGTGGCATGGCCTGTTGCAAAGGGTGAGAACAATTTGAGTTGGGAATGGTTTTTTGTGCATCTCTAATCAATACTGGAGTTGGGTAGGTAAAGGTGAAGGAGTTGCAAAGTGGTGGTAAAATTCAATTATTTTGAAAACCGTTGATGGTAAATTTGAAAAAAAAAAAAACCATTATATTATAGGAAATTTTACTTGGTAAACGAACAAATTAATTGAAATAATTTTACCACTTTTAAGAAGAAAGTGTTAAGTTGTTACAATGTAATTAATAGCTTAATTCGTTCATTTACCTTTTTGAATAATTTCTTTAAATAGCATGTCAAAAAGGCGTGTTGCAACTTGCAAGTAAAAAAAAAAACAGAAAAGTATATTCTAATACGTCATGTAATTGAGTACCTAACATGATTTGATTAAAAATTGAGACCGAGAATTAAAATCAGTCACCGGTTCATTAATTTATAACTTGTGGTTTCAATTTTACGGAGTAGTTCTAGTCTTCCAGGCACGCCGGTTCCTAACCGGTTCGTGGTTACGATTCCAATGCTTAGTACCCGGATTTTCAACCTCACTTTCATCCTATTTTATTACTTTCTAGTTTCTACTATTCCTCCTAAAACTTAGAGAAAATACAGGTTTACAACCTAGGGGTATTTTTAACTTTTTAACTATAAAGAGTAGGGAGATATGTGACATTTTACATATTTAGTATTTTGCATTAACAAAATAAAGTTGCAACTAGAAACTAGTAGTATTACCTAGTACCTACTCTCTCTTTCTCTCTCTCTCCTAGTCCCCTCTAAACTAAACGTCTAAACCCACCTCTTATGATCATCTTCCTTCCATAGACAACCACCCTCTTTTGGGATCTTTCTCTCTCTCCTCTAGCTACTCCATCACTATCACCACAAATCCACAATAAACAACCACCCACCTCCAAACCAGAATTCCTCCCCATCGCACCACTGCCCCGCTCTAACTAAACCCAAATATTAATACCACCACCGCTTTTAAGATTACCTGCCACGACATACCACCGCTTTTGGTTGCAAATGCCTTTCCTTAAGGGTTTGTGTTGCCCTAATTTGCACAATTTGCTTCTAGGGTGTCGTTTGTTCGGTCGACCGTCTGCAGCCGCGAAGCGGCGTTAAAGGTGGTTGCTTGATAAGCGTGGCCATGGGAGATTGGTAAGGGAAAGAGCCAGCGTTGAAAGTTTAGTCATGGTGATTAACGACGTTAAAATGGAGCGTTAGAGACACCTGGCATAGATAAAATTAAAATTTTTTTTTATTTTTTTTAAGGAAAAATTGGCCGCAACAACACCAACTATGATAAAGGTGCGTGTAGCATCACAACCTTTTAAGGGTGCGGTCCACAGCACAAACTATGTAATTGGGTGCACATATTAGCATAAATGACATTAATAAACTAAAGTTTCATGGAAAAAAGTGGAATCTTCATTATTTTATAATTGTTTAAACATTTTTTAAACATTTTTTAAACTTACATGATTTTCCATCATGCGTGACTTAGTTAGCCTTTTTTTTTCATTTAAGAATTTCTTAACTTCCACCATTTAAGCGGATTCCTTCAAAAAAATTGTGCTATTATTTTCCTTCGTTCGCTTCTTCAATTACTTTTTTCTAATATCGATCTCACATGATTGACTTAGTTTCCTTTCCCTCTCCACTTAATCATATACTAAATTATTGATGAATAAATAAATTAAAATCATTCGAAAATCTTTATTCTACCAGAGTTCAGGATACATAAGTAACTTTATAATACTAAGTCCCACAAAATGATTCAAAATACCAACAATTTTAGAATTGGATTTTAGGATATGCCAATGCAAATTGATTTTCTGGTTTTTGATGTACAACACTCTAATTGTGGAGGTTGAGAGAGAATAATTTAAAGGGAAAAAATTAATTATAATGGAAGAGGAAACTAAGTCAATCACATGAGATGTAAAAAATAGTAATTGAAGAAAAAATGATAGAAAATAATGGCGAAAACTTTTTGAAATAATTCAATTTAATGGAGGAAATTGAATAGTGTTTAAAGTAAAACAATTGATGGAAAAGAAGACTACTTAGTTACGTGAGATGGAAAATTTAAGTAGAATGGATTAAACAAAAATATATATAAATAAAAAAAGCATTAAAAATATTTAAGATTCCACTTTCTCTTTGAAATATAATGGCTACCCAATTATTGTAGTTGGGTAAGATTCCACTTTCTCAAGAAATCTAAGTTATGCCAATGTCATCTATGTTGTTATATACATCAAGTGCATAGTTTATGATGTTGAATACACCCCTCAAAAGGTTGTGTTGCAGTCCATTTTTTTATGTATTTATTTTTTACCCAGCCCGATTTTCAATGCATAATAATTTACTAAAGTGCCGCTTGATAAACGAAGTACTTGTGGAGAAATGGAAAAGTAATAAAATACAGCGAGGACTTGAAAGTTGCAACTTCCCTCGCAGCATCAACCCTCGACAGTTTCAACTTTTCTCGCGGCTTTTCAACTTGGTATTAGCTCATTGAAACATACATATACTTGAATAAAATTCTGGTGAACAAACCTTTGTTATGTGCTAAAATGGAGGCACCCTTTACTCCAATTGTTCACAAAATTGCCGGTGAAGTTGTCGCTAAACCTAAGCGCACCTTCACTCGTCCTACTGAGGTTAAACCCCTTTTTAATCCCCTTAATTTGAGCTATAATTTTCTGAAATTTGAATGTTTCGTGTATTGCTATTATCAGTTATGGTGATGGGTTTTTGTTGGATTTGCAGATTTGTCTTGAGGAATGGTGGCTTTCAAAATTCGATGATGGTAAGGGTTTAGCTGTAAGCGGTCGTCCTATAGAAATTAGAAAGTAAGGATTTTTTTTTTTTTTTTTTTGGGTATATATCGATTTTTATTATACAATCGGGTGTTAGTTTACATCCTCGAACATAAAAAAAAAAAAATAATTAAATTACACTCGGGTGTATAATAGACATCTTGGAGCCGAGGGAGTATTAGTCTAGATTAGTTATCTGTAATTTGATATGAATGTGAAATAGTTTAAACCCGAATTAATGTGGCATAGAAAATACGAAGTATATTTATGTTATCCGATAACTGCTGGATGCCGTGTTCATTATTTGAAACTGCAATTGTTAATGTTGGAATTGTCGAATGCTCTTTTTTCTATAATGGAAGGATATTATAGTGGTATTTTCGTCAGTTGTTCCTGATGGAAGTTTAGTTTGTGCTTTAATTTGCAATATGATGTAATTGATATTCACCGATTCTATTTACATTAGCTAGTGGGAAGTGAGTTATGTGATAGTGCTTATTATTAAGGTTTAGAAGGGCGGATGAAGGGATAGAGCTAGTGCAAATGTGCAATCTCGTCTTTATCATGGTGGTTGTGATGAAACTGTAAAACAGGATGTATTCAGTTATTTGGCTTAGGAAGTTTCACATTGATTTGCATTGTTAACATGTGAATTGAAGAATGCACCAATTTTGTTTGTTATGCAATCTCGTCTTTAATTATGCAAAATGACTCTAAGAAAGGGATTTGAGTGTATGATTGGAGACGTAGTATTGTTGGATGAAGGGAGCAGTAATAGCATACCACCTTTTTAACATTGCTGCAATTTGTTTGCTTGTAGATGTGATACCCCACAACGGAAGTTTCACTCTGCTCCTGCTAAAAGGAGATTTGCGTCAAGAGAATTTCACTCTACAAAAATTGTAAAGAGGCATGGTTGTACCACACTTGAAACTTCTGATGGTTTTATTGTTTCTCTGTGTGGCTTTATAAACAAGTCTCGCACACAACAAAATGGCTTTTCCTCTGAGGTAAGTACATATGCTGGCTGCATATGATATAAGTTTGTAAGCATTCTCGTTAAGACTTTAGCTTTTTTCTATGATCCACCTTTGAATTTTGATAGCATTACTGGTTGGTGGCTACACCATAAAATCTTAAAACATTTCAGCATTGTATTGATCAGGTTTGTCTTTACAATATTTTCAGTTCCCTGGGCCCCCAAGGACGAGATTTTTTATTTTTATTGTTTGGTGTTTGTGTTTGTGTGTGTGTGTAAATTGTGCTAAAAGAAGTTAGATACGAAGTATACTCCTTATTCTCTCTTTTGGCATCTGGTATAGGATTAGGATCCCAGTTGTTTACAGTTTAAGATTGTCAGAGTTAATTGGTCTGGTTTCTAGTCTATGCGTGTGACTTTTTAAAATGCCATTTATTACTGAGACTGCTGACTTCCTGAGATGTTAGCTTTAGATGTCAGTGGCACCCAATGGTGTAATTGATAGCAGCTTTTCAATATTTCTTGGACAAATGGAGATCATTTGTATACACCAATTTTATGCTATTAAATGATGTTTGAACCAATTCATTCCTATTCTTTGCCTAGACATGGAGAGGACTGGATTAAATCAATTTCACATACTGTATTCCTTAGTTGAATTTCTGCAGTAGCAATCTTCTTTCTAATAGAAATTCTCGTCTTTACATAACTTCTTACCCGGTAGGATCTTACAGTTTTCCCCCTCAGTTATAGTATGGCCTTTCATGGCCATGAATGTGCTTGTCTATCACATGGCATCTTGAGACTAACTTATGAATACTGGTGCTCATTAGTCTGCTGATTACTTGATAGTGTAATACTCAACATATTACATCTTATGTAACAACTCATGACATACCACCAAGTGCTAAAAAAGTTGAACTCATCCCCTTAAAGTTAAAGCTCCAGCATGTGAAAGGTGCTATGAGGAATCGTTTGGTGGAGGAATAGGACCGGCAAATCTAACTTAGTGAAAGTGAAAATATGATAGTCAATTAGAAATGAGATGCTAGGGATCTATATAATCGAATAATTGATTGAATTCCAAGGGGCTCTTCCTTTTTTCCTTTTAAAAGTCAGGTTTTCATGTATTTCCCTTCTATTGTGTATTACTCTATTCATTAGTAGTTCAATACTTGTAATCTAACTTCTCCACCCTTTATCCTCCAGCAATAACTCTTCCTCTCAACTATTTAAAATAATTAACTACCTTTTCTTTTGTTGTATACTAACCTTCACCATTTATGTAATTTGTGGACTATAGTACGTCCCTAGTAGTCTAATCTATGTTAGGCAATCATTTCACATTTCATTTCACTTCAATAACTCATGTCGGATCCTTGACATTCTAACGTGGGTATGGAAACTTTGACACTTCATTTTGGACCCAAATCATGGTAATGTTAAAAACCAAGTAGCCAAGTCAAACACTTAGGACACATACCCGTGTTGGACATGGGTACCCGAGTCCTAGTAAGTGATAGCTATATTTGGTTTATGCCGACATCATTGTTTTTGGTTATAAGATTATTGATTGTATTGATGCTATAGCACTGTGATCATTGTAACTTTGTAAGCAAACATAAAAAGGGGAACTTCATGGCTTTTTTTTATTTTTGCCTGTGATGTACTAGTACTATATAAGGGAAGCATAATTAATGCAATTATTTTCTTATTTCCTCTATCAAGATGGTGAACTTATATTAGGTTTTGTTGGGAATTTGTACAACATCCATTAGGAGCATTTGAGCTTGTGATGACAATTGAAGCCTCCCTGTGTGGCTTGGTCTTTCCACTCAGGTCCCACAATTGGTCTCACTAAGCATGTATATGTTCATTCCCAAACTTGTTCTGTATGATTTATAATATTCAACCTGAACACTTTGGACTTCTGGTATCCCTCCGAGAGTTGAGCGAAGTGTTGTCTTATTTCAACCTATTATATGGAATGTGATTATGTGAATGTGACCTTGAATTATCCTAGTGAGCCTATTACTTGCTGTTTTGGAAATTAAAGTATTGTTATAATATCCCTTGACGTGAAGTCAATACCATCAGCAAATGCTGTACTTCCATTTTCTCAACCTTTTGCTAACCTCGGTTTCTAAATGCATATTACTCCTCGCTGAAACATCACAGTAGTACTTATGCCCTAACTCTAAAGATACATTTCAAGGCCCCTCCCTGTTTGCCTCATAGATACTACTGAAATTATAAGTAAACCGTCTCTCTTATTCCCCATAATGGTATGCATCTAATGCAAGTAATTAATTTTACCTAGATAACTTGTAATAGAGGGCAGAGGGAGTCTTGAATTAGCTTTATTGGTTATTGCCCTAGGCATTGTCAATTTGTCATAATGTGAACTGTGACGTATCTGTGATGCCTTCTGAATTTTGTAGATTTTATTGACTAACTTGGCTTCTGAGCAGGTTTGCAGGGATTTCATTTTTGGATTTCCTTATAATTGGGATGATTATGCCGCATCTGTGAATAAAGATTTAAGTCAAATTAACCCTAACGATGTTACCGAGTGTGTCCTGCCGGCTGCTTTGGAATCTTACAATGGTGCACAGCTGCATGACATGGTGCTGTCTCTGTCTGATGCTGAAAGAGATAAATTCAATAAGAAAGTGTATGACAACCTAATTGGAGTGCTGACTCCACAAGCACTGGATGTAATTGAAGCTCAACCCTCAAAATCTACTAGTGAAGCTGATGCAGATGTATTAAACTCTGAATCTCAGAGGACAGAGGCTAGCAAGAAGCGGGTAACCAGATCGCAGACTTCCTCGAAGCAGGAGTCCTATATAAAGGTCAGTATGTTTGTTTTAAGTAATTTAATACTCCGTAAGTAGTTAAGATGAAGACTGAAGAACTTATGTTAGTCTCAAATTTTCATGCAGAAGTCCGGAGTGAAGAAAATGTGAATGTTCTACTAATGTTGTCACTTAAGGGAGCAATGATGTAAACTTGAGGAAACCTTGCTAGTTTAGAACGCATTACTGTACATGAAACTCTTATGGTAGAAGTAGAACTGAGTAATTTAACTTACCTAGAGACCCAATGCTAGGTTGCTAGCACTTGCAAAATTTACATTGACTTAACATCTAAAGTTCTAAAGCTAACCTTACCCAAATGCTTGCATAAAATGAAAGTTACATTTGTCTGTTGCGCATGTTTTTAGCAAGTCTTCTTGATTAAAGGTGTATGAAAACGAAAATAGTGGGGTTTAGGACTTGTTTGGTGATTTGATTCGACATTCTAGGTATCCTATTTACCTTTTGATTTTAGATATTTTGGGTTGGATATCTGAAAAAATTTGGGTTGTCAGATCAAATATAAATTGTAATTTTTCTAAAGAATTCTATGACCAGATCCGAAAAGCTGGTGATTTGATCTGAAAACTCGATGATTCGATTCGAAATTGAACAACCTTTGTTTTGGCAAAGTAGCATTTTTAATAGCCATAAATTTTTGGAGTAGCATTTGAATAGTGATTATGAACGTTTTGGCAAAGTAGTAATTCAAAAAGTAGTGTCAATTAATAGTTCTCATTTACGATTGTCCTCAACAATTTTTGTTTTAAAACTAGTTCAAATAAGGTGAATTGGTTTAAATAAGATAAACCCAATTAAGATAAAATAAAATTATCTGAATTTGCTTACAACTAAAATAAAATTTAATAAAGTTTAGATAATTACTTTAAAATCATGATCAATGGATAGTTGACAAACTTTTTTACATTTAAAAAATATAAGATGAATGAGGATGCCGACGCGAAGTTGGCCCCATTACACCAGTTCGTTATTATAAGAGTGCGCAAAAGGATTGTTGTTGTTATACGTAGTTGATGACACCAAATTCCATGCAATTCTAGCTCAAATTATGTGTTCTTAATTAATTAATACCACTCCATTTTTCAAAGTTGAAAGTATCAAAATCAAGCTTATTATAGTATTATTAATTATACTAATAATACTACATTTAGTATAATACAGGATGAGTGATAATGTGGCATGAAATAACCTTCCCAGCAAATGCATTGGCATGGGGTTCACCGGATGATGTCTTTGCTCAACACAAATACACAATGTTTCTTAGATTTTGACTCTTATCATTATTTTTTTTTAAAGAAAAAATACTTAGATCTACTTAATTACATATTATTAATCATTGGACCGCCCATTCAGTTGATTCGTCATTATAATATGGGTGTACAATGGATTAATGGAGTATCACACTCAAAATTGTTAATAATTCATTATTATTAATAATTATTAATAATAATGAAACAATGTCAAATTTCTTAAAACATGCTTTTCTATTTCTAGTTCTTCACATGGTTATATTTCTAGTTCTTCACATGGTTATATTGGTATGATATAAACCTACCACCACAAACACCGGGCATCTCCAATAGTTGTACATGTTAAATAAATTACAATACATAACTGTAAAATAAAAATAAAGAAAAAATTACAAACTAAAATAGGACGAGATTAAACTCTGTCTTTAGGATAACATTAGCCCTATATACATGTTGAAAAAAATAAATAAATTATAAAATTAATAATAATAATAATAAAATTAAATAAATAAATAAAATAAAAAAAAAACTTATGCTAATTTACCCAGGATTCTCCTATTTATTAGAATGGAAGATACGGCAAAATGTTCCATTCTCCATGGAGGCATGGAAATATATTGTTTGAAACATTGAGTAAGATCGAGAAAAATAAAAAATGATGATAATAAACTTTGTCAATTAAACGTATAAAATATAAATTGACATGACATTAATTAATGTGAACATTACCAACATTCATCCCAAAATATGATTATAATTAAATAAAAAAATAGATTAATCGGCAAAGCTAATCTTATTTAATTAACCATGCGCGTGCCTAAGTGCTAGTCTATATACCATAGCCATGATCAAGCCCAATATTATAGGCCCAAAACATCTTAAATACACCTCCATATTTTCTTTCTTTATGGGAGAATTTCCCTACTCTTAAATTCACACTATTGAAGACTACTCATAACACTTCACTTGGAGGTGCCACCCTCTTATCACCGTGACATTTCCAATTAGGGGTGAGCATGGATAGGATATCCGATAATCCAAAAACTGTGAAATTCAATATCTGATACCAAATTCGAAAAGTTTCAGATTTCTGATATCCGTAAATTTCGAATCGAATATCCAAAATACTATATAATTATCTTTAATTTTGAGCTTTTTTAATATATTTTTTTCAAAAAAAATGTAAATAACACCTAATCTCTTGGATATTTGGATAAGATATCCGATATCCGAAAGAAAATCGATATCCTATCCAATATCCGAAATTATCAAATTGTATATCCTAAATTATCGTATCGGATGCAGATTAAATCTTCAGATAGTTTTGCTCAACCCTAATTTCCATCATCGTGCTCGATAGTTATCCAAAATATTTTAAGTTCCTTAACCAAATTAATATTTAAATTCAGATAAGTTCAAATAATGGCTACATTTAGTTTACCTTAGTTACGTATCACTACTTATTTTAGATCAAATCAGAAAAATTTAGTTCAAATCAGATAAGAAAGAATAAGTTTATCTCTTCATCATTTTGTGTGCGGTCTTTTATCGGCAAACACTTTTTAAGAAAACAATTATCAAAATTACATATTTGAAAAAACGCATTAATATACAACTTTAATATATAAGACCATATGTGATATATTTTTTTTTATTGTGAATTAGCGTCTAAACAAGATCTCGGATAAGGTAAATTAAACAAAACCTAACTAAAATCAAACGCACCCTAAAATAATTTATAATAAGATCAAGTTTTGATGAATTCATATGAAATAAGATCAGTTCAGATCTGATTAGCTGAGATTTTAGATGATTTCAACTAAGTTAAAATAGATAAATATAATACACCCTTAATGAAAGTAAGGAAAAAAATTGCGAAATTTGCTATTATGTGATAAGAAATAGTGAAAATAATTATAATTTGCAATGTCAAAATTTATAACTTATATTTGTTATATCGACATGACTACGCTTCAAATCCCTAATACCCCACAACTACTCTTGAACAAAATCTCACATATAAGAGATAACAACCACTAATCCAATCTATTAACTAATAATAAAACAAAACGTTGCTGACATCATCTCTTCTTCAAATTGTACCCATGTCACTTTGACATAAAAAAATTTCCCGTTAATTTGCTATGATGATATCATCATTAGTTTTTATTTTATTTTATTTATACTTTTACCTTTATTTTTTATCTAATAAACCTTTCATATGCTTTATACTTTGTCCTATCGAGTCTTTTTTTCCAAGGTATGTTAATATTTCAATGTTTAAAAGTGTTCATTGTAATTATTATTTATTATATATATATTTTACAGTAATATGCTACAGTACAAATTACTTATCATGCATACAAAAAATTTACGGAATAAAAAATTTTCTTTCTCCGTATTTAAAACAAATCTCAAAATGTGTTTGTTTAAAACCGTGCATCGCAAGGAAATTAAACTAAGTATTAAGGAAGCAATAAATCTTTCATGGAAAGAATCTCAAAAGAAAAGTACATTAAAGAACCAATCACAACTCATAATAAACTCCAATAATTCATCTAAACTCAACATAATACTATTCTCTTATCAAACAAATTACTAACCACACATCAATAATTTGAGAACCCAAAAAGCATCGTTGAAAAGCATATTCTCAATTGTATTTATTCGAAAGCAGCCTCCTTTCTTAATCACATATCTTTTCCAAAAGATTCATCAATTTTTTCAAAAAAACACCAATTTTCTTTTTGTTTTTTTAATTAATAAAAAATAAAGTAAAACATCTTACTTGTATTTTTGACTTGAAAATACTTTTATGTATCTCCTTCACTCTATATAAAGCCACTCTGCTGCTTCTCTGCATTAGACATATAACTTCTTCTATCTATTCTCTCTCTAATCTCACTTCACCACTTTACTCAGGTACCCTTTTGCCTTAATTCTCTTATAGATTAAATTCATACAATGTTTATGTCATTTTTCTGATTTTTTGGGTCTAAATTATCATAATTTTTCTGGGTTTCCTGTCATTTTGCCTGATTTTCTGGGTCTAAATAATTGTAATTTTTCTGGGTTTTGTTTGTTTGATTTAATCTGATTTGGGTTTGATTTAATAGGTTGAATCTTTGAGGAAAAGAGGGACTGGATTCAAATTGTAAAATGGCGCGGAACATTGAAAAAATGGCGTCGATTGACGCTCAACTCAGGCTTTTGGTACCTAAGAAAGTGTCTGATGATGATAAGTTGATCGAGTATGATGCCCTTTTGTTGGATCGGTTTCTTGATATTCTTCAGGATTTACATGGGGAAGATATTCGTGAAACTGTAAGTTTTTTTTTTGGCTGATTTTGTTAATTTTTTCCGTTTTTTTTTATGTATAATTTGGTTGTTTAAATTTTGCTGTTTTTATATTTAATTGATGATACCATATGATTTATATGATTAGAATTCATGTTAATTTGAAGATCTATTGAATTTCTGTTAATATTTAGTCTTTGATCTTACAATAAAAATAACAATTTGATTTTTTCATGCATAATTAAAATATCTATGCAATGGGTTTGTGGGAAGCATGATAGTTTTAACTAAAGGTAAGATCTTGGTCGTTTTTAATGTCATGATGCTTTAAAATGGGGGAATAAATGGTGTTGTTTAAGGATGATATTGTATATTATGGTGATTGATTTAAGGTTGACTTTATTGGCTAAGTGTTCATTGATTGCGTGATTGAATAGTAGTTGTTTGATTTTCTTGTGCGAGTGATTTATGTAATTATGTTGAATGATTATGTTGCTGTCCTTTTATTGTTAAAGTGATTGTCTTGTCTAGTGAAAGTGATTTATATGCATCCTGAGCTTATAGGACTTTTGGTTGGTTAAAATTGATGTAGGTTCAAGAGTGTTATGAGCTTTCAGCTGAGTATGAAGGGAAGAGGGATCCTAAGAAGCTTGAAGAGCTCGGAAATGTGCTCACAAGCTTGGATCCCGGTGACTCCATTGTCGTTGCGAAATCTTTTTCTCACATGCTTAACTTGGCCAACTTGGCTGAGGAGGTTCAGATTGCTTATCGTCGTAGAATCAAGAAGCTGAAGAAGGGAGATTTCGTCGATGAGAATTCAGCAACTACTGAATCTGATATTGAGGAGACATTTAAGAGGCTTGTGGGGGAGCTTGGAAAATCCCCCCAAGAAGTTTTCGATGCCCTCAAGAATCAAACTGTGGATCTTGTCTTAACTGCTCACCCCACTCAATCTGTCCGTCGATCCTTGCTTCAGAAGCATGGCAGGTTTGTATCTTGTGAAATGTGAATTTGATTTCTACTCGGTGTTGTCTTGAATTA